AAGAAATACACCAATATGCTTTCTGGGAATGATTAAAGCCAGATTCATTGTCTGGTTTGTGTCTGGTTTATTTAGTTCTTTGTCTAACCAGAGAGGGTTATGAGAATTAAACTAAGGGATAGGCAAAGGAGATGGACTTACGTGCAGTCTCACAAACACCGTGTCACCAAACAGTCATTATTATTCCCTCTCACCTTTTCTTCTGTTTTTCTTTAACAAGAAGATTTGTTTACATCATACTTCTCCTTATTAATTTTTTGTGCTGAAGGTATAAAGTTTTGTCTACATTCTGAGTGCAGGATTTAAGATGAAAATCTATTTGGTGACATCTTGATGAACTGTAGTTCACCTACAGGTTTAAGTTATATACACAGATCCATCTTTTAAACTAGTTTGTGTTCAACTGTGTTTTCAGTCTACATTCGGACAGAAGTTAAATCAACAAGTTTCTTGATGTGATCCAAACGATAAATAGTTGAAATGTTGAAGTCATGCACGGTGACTCCTCTGTGTGATACCGAGATCTACAGTTGCCATGAAAACACTTCTCTGTTCAGGTCAGCATGAAACATGCTTCTCTGTAGATACATCATGTATAATCAGAGGAGGATAGGAATATGAAAATGTTTCATTGTTTTGATTGAAGCTTAATGCTGACCTTGATCTTTGGGCAGATGAGTGAAAACATTTATTGTGAAGAAGCAGAAAACTGTAATTGACTTTTCATCAGCAGATTTTTTTTAAATAAAAGAGATACTTGGGATTAGATATGTAACTGAGCCGGTAAGTATACACGGACATTTCCTGTAATTTCTCATCCCAGCTGGATGGAGAATATTGTTCTCTTACTGGGATCTATACAATAAGACTGGGCTTCATTCTGCACTTTATGCTTAGAAATGTTTTCCTTACAGACAAAATAGATATGCATGCAAAATTACAGTTTCATGAAATGCAGGCACCTCCCAGTTTTGTTTTTACCACCATGTTTATCTTAGTGAACCAGAATCGTTTTAAATTGAAAAGCCTGCACTCTATATTTGGAATCAGCTGTTACTGCCACATTTCGTTTACCTCAGGGTGTATCATGGGGAGAGCACTGAAACTGAGAAAAGCCCGATCACTCACTAGGCCAGTTTTAGTTATGGGCAGGGTTGAGCTAATCCCACCCAAACCATCTTCCTGCACAGCCAATTAAAAGTTGAGAAAGTTGTTTTCAGCCAATTAAAAAAAAGCACAGAAAACACTTCTAATTGGAAAGACAGATTACAGCCCACATCCAAAGTCTCCTATTGCACAGCCTTTAAATGCAATCAGTTAACGCACAGAGGTGCTCTTGTCCCTTAGTTAACCCACGCACTTTAACATAAGGGCAGATCATCACATCATGTTTTTTTTCTTTTTTCTGCAGTTTGGAAAATGAGTATTTTGCTTCTGCTAAATCCATAGGAGACTTTTCCATTAGTGCTTCTTTGGCACTGAGACAGAGCCTACGACTGTGTGACTGCATTTACTTTTCCAGTAGATGTGTGTTGTGCATTTTATTCTTTTTTATAAAAGGATATTTTTACTTGTGTACTACCCTGGCAGTGAATGAGCATCATAACAACAAGAAAATTAAAAAAACAAAAAATAAAACAATCCTGAGAGAGGAGAACCCACCAATTGAACAAGGACTCAAATCAGCATCTACAGGTTACATGTCAGCTGTTATAACATCAGGTCTTTGTGTTGCCCTCCTATTATTTATGACATGGCAGGCTGGAATTGAAAGCAAAGCTTAGACTGCAATAATAAGGCAATGAATGTTTGGTTTCCTGAGTGGTTGAGGCCTATAAAGATTTAAAAAAAAAAAGAGAAGGAAACCTGTTCTTGAGGAATATTATATATAATACTATATCTTTTGTTGTTTAGAAATAAGGTTCTAATAATAATTTACTCTACATGCCTTTCATATTCAAGTAAA